GCGGCGGCTCTGTGGGAGTGCCTCTCACCAAGCGACAGATCCGCATTGCAAGCTGCACACTGGTGGCTGCACGCGGATCTACGCTGGTTCCTGTTCGGACTCGAGGCTGTCTACGACGACTCGGACACCGAAGCCGCAGAAAGAGCGGAAGAGAGAAGTATCCCCAGGAGGGCCGGCTGAGGCGCAAAGAGGAATCGTCAGGGAACTGCTTCGCCGGCAATAGAGCCACAGGCAACGATACCATCAAGGAGCTGCGGCCCTGTATGGATATAAGAAGCTCGACTTAGCTCTGTCATGCTCTGTCTGCGCTGGACACAAACGGCGAAGGGACAGACTTCGGACGCAGAACGTCTTTAAAAAGGGGGTCATTGCCACGCGCTATCTGCTTATTTTGATACGCAAAGTCGTATATATGACATGGGCGCCCGCAGCAAACAGAAGGTTCAAACAGGAAGCACTGCCCTAAAGGAGCTAAACTCCAAACGCAAACCCAGAGCACGAAACCCCAAATCCAGAACCCTATAGGCCCAGGAAGCCTTCCAAGTCTAGAGATGCTCCTTTGCGGTTCGGGTTTAAGGTGTACTATGTTGTAGTAATTTGGGTGCCGCACTTTGGCTGGAGGCCTAAAGCCCGAAAGCCCAAACTCGTAACCCTGGCCCCTGTGAACCCAAGCATTGGCCATGGCTCAGAAGAAAAGAAAGGCAGATGAAAGCGCACAGCCCGTGCGAGGTGTGCTGGACTGCGTCAGAAACGTAAGCCAGAGGGAGACTGCACGAGTCGTCATGCGAAACGAAGAGAAGGCGCCAGGACACAGGGATTGTGATCGCTACAGAGAGGTGTATCCGATGCTGAGTAGCATCCAGGTTGCAGAAAAGGGCACAGACAAGATCCTGCAACTCCCGGTGCTGAAATTAGACTTGGCCCTTCAGGCCAGATGCCGGAAACTCAGAGGCTTGGCCGATCTGTTGGCTCACCACATGCGCAAAGAAGCTGTGGAAGGGCTTGATGGCATCTTGTATGTAGACGAAGCAGTACCAGGCAACGTCCTGCGACCTGACAACAACAGGAAAGGATACCTGGCACACTTCTCCTGGACAGCCTTGGGGCGAGGCCTTGCCCAAAGCAGCTCTTGGGTTACCGTAGGTTTTGTGCGTCACAAAACCATCGACCGCGTGAGTGGTGGCTTGGCTTCTTACATGCATGCGCTGGCCATGTTCTTAGAAGACTGCTTGACTGGAGTGCCTCTAGAAGACTCCTGCAATGTTCCTTATCTTCTGCGAGCAAGGAAGGTCTACCTGCTAGGAGATGAAGGTGCGCTGAAAGCTACGGTTGGCAGCAAGGGCGCCAGCGGCATGCGTCCCTGCCTGAAATGCCAGAATGCAGTGTCCAAGCAGCATCGGCAAGCCGTGTCCTTGGTCTGCATAGATGAGCCCGACGTGGCAAAGTTTCAGCCTATGCGGCAAGACAGATTAGACGCCATCATGCAACACCTGCGAACTGCCACAAGCAGTGCTGAATATGAAAGAGATTGCAAGTTACTGGGCTGGTACCTGATACCAAGAAGCCTCAGCTCCTCTCCAGGAAGTCTGGTCAATGTCATTGACAGCGTGTACGACCCCATGCACTGCTTGTGGTCGAATGGAGTCGTCAATGTTGAGGTTGGGCTTTTCCTCGAAAGAGCCGCTGCTCAAGGACTCCAGAAAACCATGCTGGAAAGGCTTGCCGCCCTCGCATGGAAATGCGGGGCGAACAGCTCCGCACAAGCAGTGCTGGATCAGAGACTGCTGGTCTTCGGGGCAGACTACAAAGGTAGCGCTACCCAGTGTGCCTTACTCCTGCCTCTGCTCACGTACTTCGCTGAAACAGTGTTTGGAGATTGCGAAAGCTTGGCCCAAGAGATCAAGAGCCTCCGACTGCTTTCTTTGCTGTGCAGCAAAATTCTCAGACTAAAAAGTCCAGGCAGAAGCCCTGAGGAAGCAAGAGAGCTTCAGAGCCTGCAGTGCCAGCACTTGGCACAGTTTAAGGCAACATACACATCAAAGTATGTGAAGCCTAAACACCATTTCAGTTTACATATTCCGCAGCAAATTGCTACCATGGGCCTGGCACTCGACTGCTGGCCTGCCGAAAGGAAAAACAAATGTTTTAAGCAACATGCCCAAAGGTTGCCACGACCAGATGAAATGGAAAAAGGTGTACTGCTCCTGCTGAACGAAGAAGAGAAACACTCTTCAGACACATACAGCGTGCAACCCAAGCTGAATGCACCGATGGTTCACCGACCTCATCTCAGGAAAATCCTGGGGACTGACAGCTTCCTGTCTTCCGACAGCTTGCTGCTGNNCAGGGGCACCTACATCCTGTCCACAGTTAAGGCTGTGAACATAGAATGCTTTGTGCAGCGACACGACGAGTGTGCTGCTCTGGGGTGTGAGCTCCAAAGAGAAGAAGGCAGAACACCCTTCAAACACCAAACCTTCACGGTATGGTGTACAAGTAAGCAATATGTCTTGCTCAAGCCTGAGCGACTGCTGCAGGGAATCATGGTGCCCTGGACTTTGTCCAATTCAACAAACGACAAAGTCACGCTGCTGCACTGAGAAAAAAAGGCCCATTGGTGATCAGGTAGTCTGGAGTCGGGGTGACACCGTGATTTCAATTTGGGTTCTTCAGGGGGACAAGATGTAGTAAACCATGCGTGCAGCTACTGTGGTTTCTGCATAAGTGCACGGTGTGATGTAAACCTTCCTTTTGTCGCAGTTTCAGGGTTTACGATCCCAAAATGCAGACATTTGTCGTTGGACACCAACAACTCGGTTCTAGCACTAAATAAACTTAGTTCTACTTAATCGGACTTAGCCGA